TTCAAATGATCTCCGAACACAACACTGTTTTAAATATTACCACAAATTCATCAAAATTATTTGGTAATCTCATAGGTATTCTGCAAATAGGCAATCCAAGCAAAGGCACACAAATAAGGGGCAAAGAGGAAAATGAGAAAGGGAGTAAGATAAGGTGTAAGGGAACAGAAATAAGAGACTATAAAAAGACAGAATAAAGCACAGGCAACAAAATGCTGATTCTCAAAGTGACAAATGTAAAAAGAGAAGATTTTTTCTCTTTCCCACCAGGAGAAATGCAGAATCATCCATAAAAATTTAATCGTACCAAACCCACCTGGGGCCCACTGACTACCAAATGGCCAGCAACCCAGTTACAGTGCTTAGCTAGACAGAGAATTATTTAATACAGGTATAGAACACATAGAAAGACTCTCTATCTTGCAAACACCTTGTAATAAGTACTTTTAATATGGACCAACATGAGATTACATTCTGCTATAATTGTGGGGTTTATCTCATTTAACAAATTCTAATTCAGATACTTGAGCAGCAGGAAAATTACTAGGCCCGAAAGACCTTGTTTAAAATCTATCATCAATCCCTTTTATGAAAAATCCAGGTATTTCCCAGCTGGCTAACATATTTTTATCAGGATAACTACAACAAAGGGCAAACTTACAGGAAATAAGACAATGCATTCCGGTTATTTGAAAGCAAGTTTCCTTGAAGGTCAATCATTTTTTTGAAGCACTGCACATGTCTATGGCACACGTCACTTCTGACAATTAGAGATATATATCAACAAAACAGTTACTAGACCACAAGTGGATGAGAATTATTTGGGAGACTAATACCTCAAATAAGTCACAGCAGCTTGTTATGAAACAGGATTAAGTACATAAGACAGGAGAGAGGGGAAAGTAAATGCAGCTGGGGATTTTGCCTTATTATTACAAAAGCCTTTTCTCTGTGTTCTTACCACAGGCACACTCAAGCAGAATTCCTTCAGTGGTTATGAACATTTATTTAAAAATATGAAAGGGGAATACTTTCAAATAAGTACTGCTTTTTTAAAGAGCCATATAAACATGCAATACTAGATTAGCTCTTATTTAATCAAATAAATCTTAACTTACATTAGTCTATGTTTATGGTTTTAGTTCCTCTTTTATTTCCTGTTATTACTGAAGAAGAAAGAAATCATATTAAGTTACCTTGCAGCTTTAAATTATAACGGCTCTGTGAAGCTCATCTTCAAGGTTTATGATTTCCCATATTCCCCTTTATGAAAACTTTATGTTCATTTAGCTTGAAAGTATTTTTCAGGCGATTTTTTGATTCAGCATACTAGCCTCACAAATCATAGAAAGAATCATAGAATGGTTTGGGTTGGAAGGGACTTTAAAGATCATCTAGTTCCAACCCCCCTGCCATGGGCAGGGACACCTTCCACTAGACCAGGTTGCTCCAAGCCTCATCCAGCCTGGCCTTGAACACTTCCAGGGATGGGGCATCCACAACATCTCTGGGCAACCTGTTCCGGTGCTCCCCACCCACTGTGTGAAGAATTTCTTCCTGACATCTAATCTAAACCTCCCTGATTTCAATTTGTACCCATTACCCCTTGTCCTATCACTACAGGCTCTTGTAAAAAGTCCTCTCCCAGCACCCTTGTAGGCCCCCTTCAGATACTGGAAAGCTGCAATGAGGTCTCCTCAGAGCCTCCTCTTCTCCAGGCTGAAAAAGCCCAACTCTTGCAGCCTTTCATCATAGCAGAGGTGCTCCAGCCCTCTAATTATCTTCGTGGCCTCCTCTGGACTCGCTCCAAGTGGTCAATATCCTTCTGATATTGGGGGTTCCACAGCTGGACGCAGCACTCCAGGTGGGGTTTCACCAGAGCAGAGTACAGGGGCAGAATCACCTCCCTCGCCCTGATAACCACGCTTCTCTGGATACAGCCCAGGATACGGATGTGTCTTGAACGCTTTTGGTTTTCTAGGGACAAAGGTACGGGATGTGGAGTTTTCCTGGTAACCAGGGTCACAATTTTTCAAAGTTCCACCCCTTGCAAACAGGCAGCAGTTTTTACTCAGATGCATCATAACATGTTAATTTGGAAATCAAAGTTTAGCAAACACAACAGATGGGAGACCAGAAGACAAGTCTGACAACTCATTTTCTGGCATTTACTGGTCTTTCAAATTTTTAAACTTTTGCAGCTGTGCAATTGTGTTCCTCTCATCTGTCAGTAATCAAGCACACAAGCCTTGCAATTCACTTGCAGCTTATTTTAATGAAAGGCAATCTTTGTTTTAATAGCAAACACATCATACATTTAACCAGAGATGGAAATTCAGGTACCATAAAGAAAACTGTTGCAAAAAATCATGATAAAAAAGCCCTTGTGAACTGTTGTGTCTTATGTAAGATACATCAAATTATACACCACTCTTATCCCTTACCACTACCTTCATCTTTTCCCCTGTAGAAAGCTACATCATTCAAGGAAGCCATGTCAGCTCTTCTAGTTCAATTTTTTAAAATTGAATTACTACAGTTTTAAATATAACATACTGCTCTGAGATGCTATTAGGACACTAAGGAAGACAAATAGCCAACCAGAAGAATCTATCTTTTCTCCTTCAGGGAAGGCGCAGTTTCATGATCCATTTAAGTCAGCTTAAGTCAGTGCAGTCCAAAACTCCTTTTGCACGTTTTTGCCCCTCCTCAAACAAGTTTTGATGTTCCAGCAAACGTAAGGTAAATCAGATCAACACGTGCATCCACATGGAAAGGGAAAAAAGGAATCCAGTAGGGGTTATTATAGAGGAAGGGCCACGCAGCCAAGGAGAAAGCAAGACTACTCCCTTCAGTGACATGACCTGGGGTTAGGTCAGGTTGAGCTACTTGGTGGGACTCCACACTCAGCAATATTGTGAAATTGTATTGCCACTTCCTGTAAATTACTTTTTTCCCTCAACTTTATGAGTTTCAACTCTAAAAAGATTGAGAAGCAGGTCTGCTCACTGTGTACTGTATTTATGCATTATTTACATAATTCTTAAGGACCAATCTCAGAGAGTATTACCAGAACTATACTAGGGAAGTCAACATCTGTTTAAAATGTCAGAATTCACATTCTTTTTAAGATGAACCTAAAAGCTCATGAATGTCAAAGAGTAAAGTGAGCATTCAAGATTTGAAACAAAGAGGTTCTCAAACACTCCACTTCTTACCCCTCCATGGCAATGAAAAAGCAGCTGCTCTTGGATACTTTCCCTTTTTGCCACAGCAGAACCACCTCCTACAGCAAAAACATCTTTGGCCTCCTAACACCTTCTCCACCTTGCTCCACATGGCAGCAAATATACCCTTAAAAAAAACTTTTAACAAAGTTAAAAATCCAAACAAGAGTTAACCTTCTGATACCACTTTAAATAAACTGAACAAATTACATGGGCACACACAGACTAAATAGCCAAACTCTGCTGTTTTTTTTTCTCCTGCCATGTTCCACAAGCTGGGTACCCTAAAGACACACAGTACCCACTGAACCTGTTCAACAAGTCTAAAAAATTCAACAAGCAAACAAAACAAGCAATTTTTTTTTTTTCTAAAGTCTACGTTTTGTCAAAGGGTTTTGAGAAAACTGTGATGAGCATTGCAGGAAACTTGTGACGGTACCCAAAACAATTTGAAATGAACTGTATGTAGGAATGTATTCAGGGAAGATTGCTGAAGGGAAGGCGTGCAAAAAGACTAGGAGATGAAAACTGATAAGGGCAGAAAAACATAAGGGGGAAAAGGTAAAAACTGTATAGAAGCAGCACTAAGCACAGTAACAGGACTGAAGTGTAGAGATCACAGTGAAGATGACGCTCTGTATATGTACACTGAGGAGCTTCAATCTTTCCATGGGCAGGAGTATCTCAATCCTTGTGTTCCCCTTACGAGGCTAATGTCCTGCCACTGCTCCCTGGAAGCTGGGATCTGCAAAACCTACTGAAGAAGAATCCAAGTTCTCCTTGGGGAGTTGGAAGCTGAGGGTCTCTGCTGCTCCAGATGTCTGAAAACTCGCCCTTCTATCATCTCCTCCTTCCTCCTTCAGAGCTGACCTACAGAAAGGGACTTGGCATTCTGGGGGTGATTAGAGCCCTCTCCCCAGCAAATCTAAAAGGGGGTGTGGGTGTGTGTCCCTCGCTCATGCAAACTGGCATCTGGGAAATCCTGCCCCGCCTCATAATAAGGAAATACTAAGAATTATGTCTTGAAAATGTGACCATACTTGTACAGGATTTCTGCAAGAACTCAAGCTTAAGGAGTTCTGCTTTCCCTTTTTCCTCTGCCCTGCAGCAACGCTGCAAACTGGACCGATCAGCAGCTCAGCTTAGAGTAGGCCACTACTGCGGCGGCACGAGCAGCAAGGAAAGCGGGAACTCCTCAAACTGGCACTGCCAGGCAAGCCCTGTGTTCTCTACGTGACAGCTTAGGGAAACTGGAATTGACACATCTGACGTCTGTCATAACTCTGTATCCTGGGGGCAGGGATGCCAACTGAGATGAATGCAGAAGTTCAAACAGAGGTTTTGTTTCAGAACATACTAATCTCTGGGCTGTTCTCGCTCAGCGGATCGTACTGACATAGTGGCCTCTCCTGTTCAAGAGATGTCTTCCTACCGTGGAGGTTGGACTGTTTACATACATTCCTCTCATGTTGCGATCTGGCTTTACAGTTAAATCAACCCAAAACTAGTTGGTGACATGAGTAGGGATCCCCTTCCTCCCTGTGTATTTTATTCTCTTCCTGCACCAGCACTGGCAGAATATCTGATCCTGATGTGGGCCAGGGAGCTAAACTGGCAAAACCGGAATAGTCCTCTGTGGATTTTTATTTTTCTGCTGGTTTATTATTTTGAGCAGACCAACCATGAGGTCACCATCATCACTGCAGGCACACAGCAAGCACCAGAAGTAGGACCGCCCTGTGCAGGCAGCTGCTATCCAACACATCTCCCTACCTGTAACAACTACACCCTTACCCAGTGTTCCTGCCAACTTAACCCACCCTCTGACGACACTGCTGCCAACAGCACGCCCATCTGATTGACCACAGAACCGCATGACTGCAAGAGCAAACACAACAGAAGAACATGCGTATCACGCCTTCTGCAGATACATGCAGTTGTACTGGCTCAAGCCAACAACAAATCCATAAAGGAGGTGCTAACACTGGGCCACGCTGGGTGTACTTTCTCAGCCCCTCCCTCCACCAAAACCAGCAAATCATTTAGCAAATCATTCATTGTCTTCTTAAAGAAACAAGAAACACTTTTCAAGTAACTTTAAAACTCTGCAAGGCAACGAATGAAGTTATTGGATGGTGGGATCAAATGC